GGGGGTGAGCGATGTCCAAGCCTTGAAGGTTCCCAATGGTCATTGTCCCAGCCCTTGGGTGGGGTTGGTCATGGTGTCCAGTGGTCATCGTTGGCCCAGCCCTTGGGTGGGGTTGGTCATGGTGTCCAGTGGTCATCGTTGGCCCAGCCCTTGGGTGGGGTTGGTGGGGGTGACCAGTGTCCAAGCTTGAAGGTTCCCAATGGTCATTGTCCCAACAGTTGGGTGGGCTTGGTGGGGATGACCAGTGGTCATCGTTGTCCCAACAGTTGGGTGGGCTTGGTGGGGATGACCAGTGGTCATCGTTGTCCCAGCCCTTGGGTGGGCTTGGTGGTGGCGACCAATGGCTGCCACGTCCCATTGGTTGGGTTTGGTGGTCTCCAGTGGCCACCATGTCCCAGCCCTTCATGGTGGCCAATGGTCATCGTTGTCCCAACAGTTGGGTGGGCTTGGTGGTGGTGTCCAATGGCCGCCATGCCCCAACCCTTGATTGTGGCCCATGGTCATTGTCCCAGCAGTTGGGTGGGCTTGGTGGTGGTGGTGTCCAGTGGTCATCATTGGCCCAGTGGTTGGGTTTGATGGTCTCCAGTGGCCACCATGTCCCAACCCTTGATGGTGGCCAAGGATGGTTGTCCCAAGAGTTGGGTGGGGTTGGTGGTAGTGTCCAATGTCCAACCCTTGAAGGTTCCCAATGGTCATTGGCCCAATAGCTGGGTGGGGTTGGTGGTGGTCACCAATGTCCAACCACCCAACCCTTGCTGGTGGCCAATGATGGTTGTCCCAACAGTTGGGTGGGGTTGGTGGTGTCCAATGTCCAACCCTTGAAGGTTCCCAGTGGTCATCACTGTCCCAGCCCTTGGGTGGGCTTGGTGGTGGTGTCCAGTGTCCAACCCTTGAAGGTTCCCAATGGTCATCATTGTTTCAACAGTTGGGTGGGGTTGGTGGTGTCCAATGTCCAACCCTTGAAGGTTCCCAGTGGTCATCACTGTCCCAGCCCTTGGGTGGGCTTGGTGGTGGTCACCAATGTCCAACCCTTGATGGTGGCCAATGGTCATCGTTGTCCCAGCCCTTGGATGGGCTTGGTGGTGGCGACCAATGGCCGCCATGTCCCATTGGTTGGGTTTGGTGGTCTCCAGTGGCCACCATGTCCCAACCCTTGATGGTGGCCAATGGTCATCGTTGTCCCAGCTCTTGGGTGGGCTTGGTGGTGGTGTCCAGTGTCCAACCCTTGAAGGTTCCCAGTGGTCATCATTGTTTCAACAGTTGGGTGGGGTTGGTGGTGGTGTCCGGTGGCCGCCCCGTCCCAGCCCCTGCTGGTGGCCAATGGTCATTGGCCCAACTGTTGGGTGGGCTTGGTGGTGGTGTCCAATGTCCAACCCTTGAAGGTTCCCAGTGGCCATCGCTGTCCCAGCCCTTGGGTGGGCTTGGTGGTGGTGTCCAGCGGCCGCCCCGTCCCAGCCCCTGCCGGTGGCCCGTGCGGGGTTGTCCCACGGTTGGGTTTCTCGGTGTCTCCCAGGGAAGCCGTGCGACCCGGCCGACCGGCAGTTCAACACGCTCATCCCGTGGTGCCTCCCGCACACCGGCAACCGCCACAACCACTGGGCCGGGCTCTACGGGCGCCTCGAGTGGGACGGCTTCTTCAGCACCACCGTCACCAACCCCGAGCCCATGGGCAAGCAGGTGGGGACACCGCGGGCACCACCGGCGGCGGGGCCTCCTGGGGGTGTCCATGGTCACTGTGGGCCGAGACCTTGGGTGGGCTTGGTGGGGGTGTCCATGGTCATTGGTGGCCCAGTGGTTGGGTTTGATGGTCTCCAGTGGCCACCATGTCCCAACCCTTGATGGTGGCCAATGGTGATTGTTGGCCCAGTGGTTGGGTGTGATGGTCTCCAATGTCCACCATGTTGGATCTGATGGTCTGTGGTGGCCCCACGTTGGGTGTGATGTTCTCTGGTGGTCCCCACATTGGATTTCATGGTCTGTGGTGGTCCCCATGTTGGGTGTGATGGTCTCCAATGTCCGCCATGTTGGTCTCTAGTAGCCACCATGTCCCAACGGTTGGGTTTGATGGTCACCAAGGTCCACCTTGGTGTGGTGTTGTGTGTGTTGTTCTGGGTGTGATGTTCTCTGGTGGCCCCCACGTTGGATTTGATGGTCACCAATGTCCCCCACGTTGGGTGTGACGTTCTCTGGTGGTCCCCAGTCAGATCTGACATTCTCTGGTGGTCCCCAGTCGGATCTGACGTTCTCTGGTGGTCCCCAGTCAGATCTGACATTCTCTGGTGGTCCCCAGTCGGATCTGACGTTCTCTGGTGGCCCCCAGTCAGATCTGACGTTCGCTCTCTGGTGTCCGTGGCAGGGCCGGGTGCTGCACCCCGAGCAGCACCGCGTGGTCAGCGTGCGGGAGTGCGCGCGCTCCCAGGGCTTCCCCGACACCTTCCGGCTCTTCGGCAACATCCTGGACAAGCACAGACAGGTGCGTGCCACCAGCTGCTGTCCCCGTGTCCCCATTGTCCCCATTGTCCCCATTGTCCATTGTCCCTTTGTCCCTGCAGTGTCACCACCCCCATGTCCACTTGTCCCTTTGTCCCATTGTCCATTGTCCCTTTGTCCCTGCAGTGTCACCACCCCCATGTCCTCTTGTCCCATTGTCCTCTTGTCCTATGCCCATTGTCCCTTTGTCCCCTTGTCCATTGTCCCACTGTTCTCTTGTCTCCTTGTCCCTTTGTCCATTGTCCCTTTGTCCCCTTGTCCATTGTCCATTTTCTCTTTGTCCTCTTGTCCCATTGTCCCTTGTCCCACTGTCCCATTGTCCCACTGTCCATTGTCCCCATTGTCCGTTGTCCATTGCCCCTTTGTCCCATCATCCTTTTGTCCCCTGTCCCTCTGTCCCCCTGTCTGTCCCCTGTCCCCCTGTCCCTGTCCCTCTGTCCCACTGTCCGTCTGTCCCCAGGTTGGTAACGCGGTGCCCCCTCCCCTGTCCCCCTGTCTGTCCCCTGTCCCTCTGTCCCTGTCCCACTGTCCGTCTGTCCCCAGGTTGGTAACGCGGTGCCCCCTCCCCTGTCCCCCTGTCTGTCCCCTGTCCCTCTGTCCCTGTCCCACTGTCCGTCTGTCCCCAGGTTGGTAACGCGGTGCCCCCTCCCCTGGCCAAGGCCATCGGGCTGGAGATCAAGGCCTGCGTTGTGGCCAAGCTGCGCCAGGACACGGCCGGTGAGTGACCCCCACAGTGTCCCCATGGTGTCCCCAAGGTGTCCCCATGGTGTCCCCACAGTGTCCCCACAGTATGCCCAAGGTGTCCCCAGGGTGTCCCCAGGGTGTCCCCAGGGTGTCACCACGGTGTCCCCTCCCTGTCACCGCCCCCGTTACCCCGCAGGTCCCTGCAGGGCCCCTGGCTGTCCCCATTGTCCCCTCAGTGTCCCCACTGTCCCCTCAGTGTCCCCATTGTCCCGCAGGTCCCCATTGTCCCCACTGTCCCCTCACTGTCCCCATTGTCCCCTCACTGTCCCCATTGTCCCGCAGGTCCCCTGCCTGTCCCCACTGTCCCCTCACTGTCCCCACTGTCCCGCAGGTCCCCTGGCTGTCCCCTCATTGTCCCCATTGTCCCCTCACTGTCCCCACTGTCCCGCAGGTCCCCTGGCTGTCCCCACTGTCCCCACTGTCCCCTCACTGTCCCACTGTCCCGCAGGTCCCCTGGCTGTCCCTATTGTCCCCTCAATGTCCCCATTGTCCCCTCACTGTCCCACTGTCCCGCAGGTCCCCTGGCTGTCCCCATTGTCCCCTCACTGTCCCCACTGTCCCCTCACTGTCCCCACTGTCCCGCAGGTCCCCTGGCTGTCCCCTCATTGTCCCCATTGTCCCCTCACTGTCCCCATTGTCCCGCAGGTCCCCTGGCTGTCCCCTCATTGTCCCCATTGTCCCCTCACTGTCCCCACTGTCCCGCAGGTCCCCTGGCTGCCGCTGTCGCTGTCCCGGTCCCGTCCCCGTCCGGCGCCGCCTGAGCCGGGAGCGGAGCTGGGGGGGGGGGAGGGGCGGGGGGGGCCGGGCTCACCCGGGGCTGCGGCGCCTCAGCCTCGCCTTTATTTGGCCTTTTCTGCCTTTTTAAAATTTTATTTTCCTTTTTATTCCTCTTTCTTTCTTTTTATTTCTCTTTTTTCCCCTTTTTCTTCTTTTTTTCCCTGGTTTTTTTGGTTTTATTTCTCTTTTTTTTCTTTTATTTTCCCCCCTTTCCTTCTTTTATTTCCCTTTTTCCTTCTTTTATTTATCTTTTTTTTCTTTTTCTCTCCCTTTTTTTCTTTTCCCCCTTTTTTCTTTTTTTCCCTTTTCCTTCTTTTATTTCCCTTTTTTTTTCCCTTTTCCTTCTTTTATTTTGCTTTCCCCCCTTTTTTAATTTTTCCCCCTTTTTTTCTCCCTTTTTTCAGCTTTTCCTTCTTTATTTTTCTATTTTTTTTCTCAATTTCCCCTCTCATTTTATATTTTCCCCCTTCTTTATATCCCTTCCTTTTCCCCCTTTTTCCTCTTTTAACCCCTTTTTTTCCCTTTCATTTTTCATTTTCCCCCTCCTTTCCCTCGGTTTTTTTTTTCCTTTCTCTGCATTTTTTCTGTCTTTTCTCCATCTTTTCAAAGCCTTTTTTATTTCCCCACTTTGCCTTTTGTTTATTTTATAATTTTTTTTTTAATTCCCCTCCCTCCACGCTCTCTGTGCTGCTCCAACCTCCCTTCAGGGCCCGGCCCCTCTCCCCCGTTTTTATCGCATTGTACCCAACCCCCCGCGGCCGCTTTGTACAAGGTGCCACTCGATACTTTATGTAGTTTTTATATGTTGTAATATTTCTTCAAATAAATCGCGCCTATAAGTTATAAACAATTAAAAACAAATTCTCTGCGCCGCGCTACGAGTAGGCCGCAATCCCCATGGCGGCGTTGCTTAGCAACCGCTTCCCGCCATGCCCCGCGCGGCGCTTCCCGCCTTCCCCCCCGCCGGAAGTGACGCCCACGGACCGGAAGTGGCGGGCGGCCTTTCCGGTGTGGCGGCGTGAGGGCGGCGGAGGCGATGCCGACCGGGGACTACGAGTGAGGGCGGGAGCGGGAACCGGGATGAGGAACCGGGGATGGGAACCGGGATCGGGAACCGGGATTGGGGCCGGGAACCGGGATTGAGGTTGGAGAGGGGTTGTGAGGTGGATCGGGAGCGGCGGCGGCGGGGCCGGCGTCGGGCCTGCGGCTGTGTGAGGGGACCGGGAACGGGAACCGGGAGCGGGACCGGGATTGGGATCGGGAACCGCGAGCGGGGTTGCGAACGGGAACCGGGATTGAGGCCGGCATGGGGTTCCGAGGTGGATCGGGAGCGGCGGCGGCGGCGTCAGGCCTGTGGCCGTGTGAGGGGACCGGGAACGGGAATCGGGACCGGGATTGGGAACCGGGAACGGGGCCGGAGATCGGGAACCGGGTTTGGGGCCTGGAACCGGGAACGGGATTGGGAACCGGGAACAGGAACCGGGACCGGGGTCACGGCGGTCTCGGGGCCTGGCGGGGCCCGCTCGGGAGGTCCCGGCTGTGAGGCCTGGTCGGGCCCAGTTGGGGTCCCCGAGGTCCCGGTTGGGGTCCCGGGGGGGGTTCGGGCGGGGCCGTGGCTGTGAGGGGAAGGGAGGGGTGGGGAGGGACAGGAGGGACCCTGGGGGCGGCACCGGGTGGCACAGGAGGGGACAGGGACACCTGAGGGTGGCACAGGAGGGGACAGGGACACCTGAGGCCGTTGTGTCCCCACAGCTCCAAGCCCAGCTGGGCTGACCAGGTGGAGGAGGAGGGAGGAGAGGATGGTGAGTGACAGCGGGACACATGGGGGGTGGCACCTGTCACATCTGTCACACCTGGGACACCTGGGGGGGGTGGCACCTGGGACACCATCAGGGGTGGCATCTGTGGCACTTGGAGCACCTGTCAGGGGTGGCATCTGTGGTACCCGTCACACCTGTGACACCTGTCATTGGTGCCACCTGTCACACCTGTGACACCTGTGGTACCTGTCATTGGTGTCACACCTGCCGGAGGTGACACATCTCAGGGCTGTCACCTGTGTCCTTGGGGACAGAGAGCTGGGCAAGGCTGGGGTGACCTGCCCAGGTGAGAGGGGTCACCTGTGCCCAGGTGAGGTTCCCTGGGGGTTCCCTGAGCGCAGGTGTCCGTCTGTCTGTCCCAGACAAGGTCATCACCTCTGAGCTCCTCAAGGATCTGCCCCTGCCCGGGGTCCTGGGAGGCCCCTCCAGCGCTGAGGCCGAGCTGCTCAAGGGAGGTGAGAGGGGACACCTGGGGGGACACCTGGGACAGGTGGGGACACACCTGGGGGGACACCTGGGACAGGTGGGGACACACCTGGGGAGGGGAGTGACAACCTGGGGACATGAGGGGACACCTGGGACATCTGGGGAGGGGAGTGACAGACCTGGAACACACCTGGGGACACCTGTGGGGACACCTGGGCCTCACCTGTCGCTGTCCCCAGGTCCCCTGCCCTCCCCCAAGGAGGTCGTCAATGGCAACATCAAAACCATCACCGAGTACCGCGAGGAGGAGGACGGGCGCAAGGTCAAGGTGGGCATGGGGGGCACCTGAGCCCCAAATTTGGCACCTGAGCCCCAGATTTGGCACCTCTGGATCCCAAAATTGGCACCTGAGCCCCAAATTCGGCACCTCTGGACCCTAAAATTGGCACCTGAGCCTCAAAACTGGCACCTCTGGACCCCAAAATTGACACCTCTGGACCCCAAAATTGACACCTGAGCTCCAGATTTGGTACCTGAGCCTCAGAATTGGCACCTCTGGGCCCCAAATTTGGAACTTCTGGACCCCAAAATTGGCACCTGAGCCCCCAAAATTGACACCCGAATCCCAAATTTGGCACCTGAGCCTCAAACTTGGCACCTCTGGACCCCAAATTTGGCACTTCTGAACTCAAATTTGGCACCTCTGAGCCCCAAATTTGGCACTTCTGAACCCCAAATTTTGGCACCTCTCGGCTCAAATTTGGCACCTGAGCTCCAGAATTGGCACTTCTGGACCCCAAATTTGGCACCTGAGCCCCCAAAATTGGCATCTCTGGACCCCAAATTTGGCACTTCTGAACTCAAATTTGGCACCTCTGAGCCCCAAATTTGACACCTGAGCCCCAAATTTGGCACCTCTGAGCCCCAAACTTTGGCACCTCTCGACTCAAATTTGGCACCTGAGCTCCAGAATTGTCACCTCTGGACCCCAAAATTGGCATCAGAATCCCAAATTTGGCACCTGAGCCACAAATTTGGCACCTCTGAACCCCAAATTTGGCACCTCTGAGTCCCGAATTTAGCACCTGAGCCCCAAATTTGGCACCTCTGGACCCCAAATTTGGCTTTTTAGGGATTCAGGTGCTCCAGGAGTTCCGAAATTTGGGATTTTTGGGATCAGGTATTCCAGTTATTCCCAGATCTGTCACCTGTGGACCCCAAATTTGGGATTTTTGGGTTTTCCAGCCTCATTCCCACGTTTTTCCCATCCCAGATCATCCGAACGTTCCGGATCGAGACCCGCAAAGCCTCCAAGGCCGTGGCCCGGCGCAAGGTGAGGGAAAAGTGGGAGAAAAATGGGAAAAATGGGAGAAAAATGGGATTGGGAATGGGAAAAATGGGATTGGGAATGGGAAAAATCAAATTGGGAATGGGAAAAATGGGGGAAAATGGGATTGGGAAATGGGGAAAATGGGATTAGGAATGGGAAAAATGGGGAAAATGGGATTGGGAATGGGAAAAATGGGGAAAAATGGGATTGGGGAAAAGGGGATTAAAATGGGAAAATGGGATAAAAATGGGATTTACCTGTGGAAAATGGGATTAGGAAAAATGGGATTTGGGAAAATGGGAAAAGTGGGATTGGGAATGGGAAAAATGGGATTGGGAATGGGATTTACCTGGGAAAAATGGGATTTGGGAAAATGGGAAAAGTGGGATTGAGAATGGGAAAAATGGGATTGGGAATGGGATTTACCTGGGGAAAATGGGATTTACCTGGGAATGGGATTGGGAAAAATGGGAAAATTTGATTGACCTGGGAAAAGTGGGATTGGGAATGGGAAAAATGAGATTGGGAAAAATGGGATTTACCTGGGAAAAATGGGATTTACCTGGGAATGGGAACCAGGGTTCAGGTGTCACCGTGGGAACGGGGCTGGAATCCCGAAATTCCCGAATTTCCCAGGATTTTCAGGCTCCTTTTCCCATTTTTCCCTCCCTCAGAACTGGAAGAAATTTGGGAATTCCGAGTTCGACGCCCCCGGGCCCAACGTGGCCACGACGACCGTGAGCGACGACGTCTTCATGACCTTCATCACCAGCAAGGAGGTACGGGCAGGTGGGCCCAGGTGTGCCCCAAAAATGTCCTCAGGTGGGCCCAGGTGTGCCCCAAAAATGTCCTCAGGTGTGCCCCAGAAATGTCCTCAGGTGGGCCCAGGTGTGCCCCAAAAATGTCCTCAGGTGTGCCCCAAAAATGTCCCCAGGTGTGCCCCAGAAATGTCCTCAGGTGTGCCCCTAAAAATGTACTCAGGTGTCCCCAGGTGTGCCCCAAAAAACGTCCTCAGGTGTGCCCCAAAAATGTCCTCAGGTGTGCCCCAGAAATGTCCCCAGGTGTGCCCCCAAAAGTGTCCTCAGGTGGGCCCAGGTGTGCCCCAAAAAATGTCCCAAGGTGTGCCCAGGTGTGCCCTAAAAAATGTCCTCAGGTGGGCCCAGGTGTGCCCCAGAAATGTCCCCAGGTGTCCCCAGGTGTGCCCCAGAAATGTCCCCAGGTGTGCTCCAGAAATGTCCTCAGGTGTGCCCCAGAAATGTCCTCAGGTGTGCCCAGGTGTGCCCCGGAAGTGTCCCCAGGTGTCCCCAGGTGCGCTCAGGTGTGTCCCCATGCAGGACCTGAACTGCCAGGAGGAGAAGGACCCCATGAGCATCTCTAGGTGTGCCCCATGAACATCTCTAGGTGTGCCCCATGAGCATCTCTAGGTGTGCCCCATACCCACGTGCATCTCTAGGTGTCCCCAGCTGTCCCCAGGTGTCCCCAGGTGTCCCCAGGTCTATCTCAGGTGTCCCCAGGTCTATCTCAGGTGTCCCCAGGTGTCCCCAGGTGCGCTCAGGTGTGTCCCCATGCAGGACCTGAACTGCCAGGAGGAGAAGAACCCCATGAACATCTCTAGGTGTGCCCCATACCCACGTGCATCCCTAGGTGTCCCCAGGTGTCCCCAGGTGTCCCCACATATCCCCAGGTGTCCCCAGCTGTCCCCAGGTCTATCTCAGCTGTCCCCACATGTCCCCAGGTGTCCCCAGGTGCGCTCAGGTGTGTCCCCATGCAGGACCTGAACTGCCAGGAGGAGGAGGACCCCATGAACATCTCTAGGTGTGCCCCATGGCCACGTGCATCCCTAGGTGTCTGTAGCTGTCCCCACATGTCCCCAGCTGTCCCCAGCTGTCCGTAGCTGTCCCCAGGTGTCCCCAGGTCTATCTCAGGTGTCCCCAGGTGCGCTCAGGTGTGTCCCCATGCAGGACCTGAACTGCCAGGAGGAGGAGGACCCCATGAACATCTCTAGGTGTGCCCCATACCCGCGTGTGTCCCCAGCTGTCCCCAGGTCCATCTCAGGTGTCCCCAGGTGTTCCCAGCTGTCCCCAGGTGTCCCCAGGTGCGCTCAGGTGTGTCCCCTTGCAGGACCTGAACTGCCAGGAGGAGGAGGACCCCATGAACAAGCTCAAGGGCCAGAAGATCGTCTCGTGCCGCATCTGCAAGGGCGACCACTGGACCACGCGCTGCCCCTACAAGGACACGCTGGGGCCCATGCAGAAGGAGCTGGCCGAGCAGCTGGGGCTGTCCACGGGCGAGAAGGAGAAGCTGCCCGGAGGTGGGACCCCAAAAATCCCAAATTCTGGGGTTTTGGGGATTTTTCCTGGTTTTTTCCCTGTTTTTTTTCCCATTTTTATGAGGTTGTGTAGCCCAAACTTCACCAGCATTGTGGTGGTGGCCCCGTTGTGGTTGTGGTGGCCCCATGCAGAAGGAGCAGCTGGGGCTCTCCATGATGGAGAAGGAGAAGCTGCCCGGAGGTGGGACCCCAAAAATCCCAAATTCTGGGGTTTTGGGGCAATTTCGGGGATTTTCCCCCATTTTTTCCCATTTTTGTGAGGTTACGTAGCCCCAGAGGTCACCGTGGTGGCCCCGTTGTGGTGGCCTCGTGCAGAAGGATCAGCTGGGGCTCTCCATGATGGAGAAGAAGCTGCCCGGAGGTGGGACCCCAAAATCCCAAATTCTGGGGTTTTGGGGCAATTTTGGGGATTTTCCCTGGTTTTTTCCCTGGTTTTTTCCCATTTTTATGAGGTTGTGTAGCCCAAACTTCACCACCATTGTGGTGGTGGCCCCATTGGTGTTGTGGTGGCCCCGTGCAGAAGGATCTGCTGGGGCTCTCCATGGGTGAGAAGAAACTTCCAGAAGGTTGGACCCCAAATCCCAAATCTCACTTTTTTTGGGAATTTTTCCCCCATTTTCCCCATTTTTGTGAGGTTACGTAGCCCCAAAGGTCACTGTGGTGGCCCCGTTGTGGTGGCCCCGTGCAGAAGGATCTGCTGGGGCTCTCCATGGGTGAGAAGGAGAAGCTGCCTGGAGGTGGGACCCCAAAAATCCCAAATTCTGGGGTTTTGGGGGAATTTTGGGGATTTTTCCTGTTTTTTCCCCATTTTTATGAAGTTCCGTAGCCCCAAACATCACCGTGGTGGCCCTGTTGTGGTGGTGGCCCCGTGCAGAAGGATCTGCTGGGGCTTTCCATGGGTGAGAAGAAACTTCCAGGAGGTTGGACCCCAAAAATCCCAAATTCTGGGGTTTTGGGGGAATCTTGGGGATTTTCCCCCATTTTTCCCATTTTTGTGAGGTTACATAGCCCCAAGGTCACCATGGTGGCCCCGTTGTGGTGGCCCCGTGCAGAAGGATCAGCTGGGGCTCTCCATGGTGGAGAAGGAGAAGCTGCCCAGAGGTGGGACCCCCAAAATCCCAAATTCTGGGGTTTTGGGGGAATTTGGGGATTTTTCCTGGTTTTTTCCCATTTTTATGAGGTTGTGTAGCCCAAACATCACCGTGGTGGCCCCGTTGTGGTGGCCCTGTGCAGAAGGATCAGCTGGGATTGTTCCTCACCTGTCCCCACTGTCCCCCACCTGTCCCTTTACCTGTCCCCACTGTCCCTTTACCTGTCCCCACTGTCCCCTCACCTGTCCCCACTGTCCCTTTACCTGTCCCTTTACCTGTCCCCACTGTCCCTTTACCTGTCCCTTTACCTGTCCCCCACCTCTCCCTTTACCTGTCCCCACCTGTCCCCTCACCTGTCCCCACTGTCCCTTTACCTGTCCCTTTACCTGTCCCCCACCTCTCCCTTTACCTGTCCCCACCTGTCCCCTCACCTGTCCCCACTGTCCCTTTACCTGTCCCCACCTGTCCCCACTCTCCCCCACCTGTCCCCTTACCTGTCCCCCACCTGTCCCTTTACCTGTCCCCCACCTGTCCCTTTACCTGTCCCTTTACCTGTCCCTCACCTGTCCCCACCTGTCCCTTTACCTGTCCCTTTACCTGTCCCTTTACCTGTCCCTCACCTGTCCCCACCTGTCCCCACTGTCCCCTCACCTGTCCCCTGCAGAGCCGGAGCCGGTGGCCGCCCAGGTGAGCAAGACGGGCAAGTACGTCCCGCCCAGCCTGAGGGACGGCGCCAGCCGGCGCGGGGAGTCCATGCAGCCCAACCGCAGAGGTGGGGACACCTGGGGACACCTGGGACACACCTGGGGGGCACCTGGGGGGCTGGAACACACACCTGGGGACACCTGGGACACACCTGGGGACACCTGGAACACACCTGGGGACACCTGGGGGGCTGGGGAACACACCTGGGGACACCTGGGGGGGATAAAAATACACCTGGGACACCTGGGGGCCTGGAAAACACACCTGGGACACACCTGGGGGGGTTCTGGGGGTACCTGGGGGGCTCTGGGGATACCTGGGACACACCTGGGGGGCTTTTGGGGACACCTTGGATACACCTGGGGACACCTGGGATACACCTGGGGGGCTCTGGGGACAGCTGGGGGGCTCTGGGGACAGCTGGGATGCACCTGGGACACCTGGGACACACCTGGGGGTACCTGGGACACACCTGGGGACAGCTGGGATTCACCTGGGGGTACCTGGGGATACTTGGGATCCACCTGGGGATACCCGGGATCCACCTGTGGACAGCTGGGACATACCTGGGGGTACCTGGGACACACCTGGGGACACCTGGGATTCACCTGGGACACACCTGGGGATACCCAGGATACACCTGGGGACAGCTGGGACACACCTGGGGGGCTCTGGGGACAGCTGGGACACACCTGGAGGTACCTGGGACACACCTGGGGATACCTGGGACACACCTGGGGGTATCTGGGATCCACCTGGGGGTACCTGGGGCAGCTTTTGGGGACACCTGAGGGGACAAACCCCGCACCTGTGGCCCCCGGGAGTGCCCCTGGCGCTCACCTGAGGCCGCCCTCACCTGTCCCCAGCCGATGACAACGCCACCATCCGCGTCACCAACCTGTCGGAGGACACGCGCGAGACCGACCTGCAGGAGCTGTTCCGCCCCTTCGGCTCCATCTCCCGCATCTACCTGGCCAAGGACAAGACCACGGGCCAGTCCAAGGTGGGCACCGTCACCTGGGGCCGGGCGGCCCCGCCCAGCTGTGCCCAGCTGTGCCCAGCCAGGTGTGCTGAGCCAGGTGTGCTGAGCTGTGCTGAGCCAGGTGTGCTGAGCCAGGTGTGCTGAGCCGTGCCCAGGTGTGCTGAGCCAGCTGTGCTGAGCCAGGTGTGCCCAGCTGTGCCCAGGTGTGCTGAGCCAGGTGTGTCCCCCAGGGCTTCGCCTTCATCAGCTTCCACCGGCGCGAGGACGCCGCCAGAGCCATCGCGGGCGTGTCCGGCTTCGGCTACGACCACCTGATCCTGAACGTGGAGTGGGCAAAGTGAGTACACCTGGGGACAGCTGGGAACACCTGGGGACAGCTGGGGGACCTGGGGACACAGCTGGGGGCACCTGGGGGGGGGGTCACACCACCTGATCCTGAACGTGGAGTGGGCAAAGTGAGTACACCTGGGGCACCTGGGGACACCTGGGGACACCTGGGGACAGCTGGGGGGACATGGGGACACACCTGGGGACACCTGGGGGGGGGTCACACCACCTGATCCTGAACGTGGAGTGGGCAAAGTGAGTACACCTGGGACACACCTGGGGACACAGCTGGGGACAGCTGGGACACACCTGGGGCACCTGGGGACAGGTGGGAACAGCTGGGGGACCTGGGGACAGCTCTGGGACCTGGGGACACCTGGGTACAGCTGAGGCACCTGGGGGCATCTATGGTGTTACACCCACCTGATCCTGAACGTGGAGTGGGCAAAGTGGGTATACCTGGGGCACACCTGGGCACACCTGGGGACACACCTGGGGACACACCTGGGGACAGCTGGGGACACAGCTGGGGACACCTGGGCATTCATCTGGGGGGTCACACCACCCGATCCTGAACATGGAGTGGGCAAAGTGGGGACACCTGGGAACACAGCTGGGGACACACCTGGGACACACCTGGGGACACACCTGGGTACAGCTGGGGGGACACCTGGGACACACCTGGGGACACCTGGGGACACCAGGACACACCTGGGCACACCTGGGCACACCTGGGGCACACCTGGGCACACCTGGGACACACCTGGGGCACACCTGGGCACACCTGGGACACACCTGGGGACACCTGGACACACCTGGGCACACCTGGGCACACCTGGGCCTCTCTCACTTCTCCCTTTTTCCTCCCCCCAGGCCCTCGACCAACTGAGCCGCTCCCAGTCCGGCCCCAGCGGATCCCAGTTGGTCCCAGTTTGGTCCCAGTTGGTCCCAGTTTGGTCCCAGTTCAATAAAGCTCTGGGTTCTGGCACCGCCCCTGTCTCAGCATTTTGGGTGGAAAAAATGGGAATTTTGGGGTGGGAAATTGGGAATTTGGGGGAGGAAATGAGAATTTAGGGTGGGAAATGAGAATTTTGGGTTGAAAAATGGGAATTTTGGAGGAAAATGGGAATTTTGGTGGGAAAATGGAAATTATGGCTGGAAAAAAATGGGAATTTTTGGGGGGGAAAAGTGGGATTTGGGGCTGAGAGAGATTTTGGGTGGGAGAAGTGGGATTTGGGGTGGGAAAAGTGAAATTTTCCTGGAAAAAAGAGCAACAAGAGTTCTTGGGGTGAATCCAACTTTATTCCTCCCTCTTCTTTCGCCTTTTTTGGGTTATTTTTCCCATTTTTCTGGGATTTTTTTCCCCACATTTTTCCTCTTTTTTTGTTGTTTTCCCCCATTTTTTTGGGGTTATTTCCCCTGGATTTGGGGGAATCCCAGCAGGGAAAAGCTGAGGGAACTTTGGGGGATCCCAAAATTTTTTCTGGAAATCCCAAAATTCCGTTGGACCCCAAAATCCATCCCGGAGACCCCAAATTCCCGACCCCATTGGGATCAGGGGGGTCCCAAATTCCCCAAATTTTTTCCCCCTCTCAGTTTTTCCTTTTTCGGGCTCGTCCTGGCCGAGGGAAATTTGGGATTTTCTGGGGGCTCAGGAGCTTCCCACGAGGGGATTTGGGGTTTTTGGGGTGTCCCGGGTGGGATTTGGGATTTTTGGGGTGTCCCAGGTGGGATTTGGGGTTTTTGGGGTGTCCCGGGTGGGATCTGGAGGTTCCAGGTTGGGATTTTGGGGTTTCCAGTTGGGATTTGGGGGTTCCAGGTTTCCTGGGGTGGGATTTGGGGTTTTTGGGGTGTCCTGGGTGGGATTTTGGGGTGCCAGGATGGGATTTTGGGGTTCTCTGTTGGGATTTTGGGGTTCTCTGTTGGGATTTTGGGGTGCCACGATGAAATTTGGGATTTCCAGGTTGGGATTTTGGGGTTCCAGGGTGAGATTTTTGGGATCCAGGTGTGAATTTTGGGGTTCCAGGTGTGAATTTTGGGGTTCCTGGGGTGGATTTTGGGGTTCCAGGTGTGGATTTTGGGGTTCCTGGGGTGGATTTTGGGCTCCTCTTCCGTCGTTTCCGGGCTCGGGGCGCGGCCGAGGGGCTTCGCTTCCTCTTGGAGCTGCCAGGGAACAAATCTGGGGGAAAAAAGAGGGAAAAATGGGAATTTAGAGGGGAAAAAATGGGATTTGGGGGGGAAAGAATTGGGATTTGGGGGGGAAAAAATTGGGATTTGGGGAGAAAAAATGGAATTTAGGGATGGAAAATTGGGATTTAAGAGAATAAAAATGGGATTTGGAGGGAAAAAAAAGGGGTTTGGGGAGGGAAAAAAAGGAATTTAGGAATAAAGTTTTGGGATTTTGGGGGAAAATTTGGGATTTGTGGTGCCAGGAGGGCCCCGGAAGTGTCAGAGCGTTTACTTTGATCCCAAATCATGGAAATTCAGGAATTTTGGCGTCATCAGCCACTTCCGGGGAGGGAAACCCCAAAATCACCTGGAACCTCCCCAAACTCACCTGGAAACCCCAAAATTTCCTTTTCTTCCCCCCAAACCTCACCTGGAGCCCCCCAAAATTCATCTGTCTCCCCCAAATTCACCTGAAACCCCCAAAATTCACCTGAAAACCCCAAATTTCACCTGAAATCCCCATAATTCACCTGAAAACCCCAAAATTCACCTGGAGCCCCCCAAAATTCATCTGAAACCCCCAAAATTCACCTGGAGGCCCCAAAACTCACCTGGATCCTCCTCAGATCCCCCATTACACCCCCAAATTTCACCTGGAGCCCCCCAAAACTCACCTGAAACCCCCAAAATTCACCTGAAACCTCCCAAAACTCACCTGAAACCCCCAAATTTCACCTGAAACCTCCCCAAAATTCACCTGAAAACCCCAAATTTCACCTGAAACCTCCCCAAAACTCACCTGGAGCCCCCCAAACTCACCTGGAGCCCCCAAAATTCACCTGAAATCCCCAAAATTCACCTGGAGCCCCCCAAAACTCACCTGAAAACCCCAAATTTCACCTGAAAACCCCAAATTTCCCTTTTCTTGCCCCAAACCCCCCCTGCCCCTGGGCTCACCTGGCTCGGGCTCCTCCCCCAGCTCCTCCCTGTAATATTCGGCCTCGTCCTCCTCCGACGCCTCAGCCTCGCCCGCCTCAGGTGCGCCCGGGTCCTCGGCGTCGCTGTCACCTCCAGGGCCACCTGCGGGGCCACCTGGGCCACCCCCGGTGTCACCTGCGGGGCCACCCCCGCTGCCACCTGCGGGGCCACCTGGGGCCCGGCCCATCCCGGCCAGGCTGCGCTCCCTGAGAGGGATGGGAGGGGACAGGTGAGGGACAGGTGGGGACAGGTGGGGACAGGTGGGGACAGGTGAGGGACAGGTGGGGATAGGGGAGGGACAGGTGGGGACAGAGGAGGGGGACAGGGGAGGGGGACAGGTGGGGACAGGTGAGGGGGACAGGTGGGGACAGGTGAGACACAGGTGGGGACAGGGGAGGGACAGGTGGGGACAGGTGGGGACAGGTGGGGGGGACAGGTGGGGACACCTGGGGGAGCCTCCCCTGTGTCACCTTTGTGCCCCCATCTGGAGAACGCCCACCTGTCCCTCACCTGGCAGGACCCTGCCACCTTCAATTGTCCCTGTCACACCTGTCCTACCTGTCCCACCTGTCCCTGTCCCTCACCTCAGTCTTACCTGTCCCCTGTGTCTCACCTGTCCCTGTCCCTGTATCTCACCTGTCCCTGTCCCAGTCCCTGTCCCTGTCCCCTCACCTGTCCCCTGTGTCTCACCTGTCCCTGTCCCAGTCCCTGTCCCTGTCCCTGTCCCCTCACCTGTCCCTGGGTCTCACCTGTCCCTGTCCCTGTTCCCCATGTCTCACCTGTCCCCTCACCTGTCCCTGTCCCCCCTGTCTCCTGTCCCCGTCCTTGTCCCAGTCTTACCTGTCCCTGTCCCCTCACCTGTCCCCTCACCTGTCCCAGTCTCATCTGTCCCTGTCCCCGTCCCTGTCCCCTCACCTGTCCCTGGGTCTCACCTGTCCCAGTCCCTGTCCCTGTCCCTGTCCCCTCACCTGTCCCCTGTCCCCTCACCTGTCCCTGTCCCCTCACCTGTCCCTGTCCCTGTCCCTGTCCCTGTCCCCGTGTCTCACCTGTGCCGTTCCCGCTGTTTCCGTTTCCTCTCCAGGTTCTGCTCCTGCTGCCGCCTCCGCTCCGCCCTCACCTGGAGCCGCCGCTCGCGCCGGGCCAGGAGCTCCCGGAGCTCCTCCTCCCCTTTGGGGGCTGCAGGTGAAACACGCCCGGGTTACACCCAGGTTACACCGGGGTTACACATGGGTTACACCCAGGTTACACGTGGGTTACACCTGGGATACACCTGGGTTACACATGGGTTACACCGGGGTTACACTGGGGATACACCGGGGTTACACCTGGGTTACACATGGGTTACACCTGGGTTACACCGGGGTTACACCGGGGTTACACCTGGGTTACACCCGGGTTACACCGGGGTTACACCTGGGATACACCTGGGATACACCGGGGTTACACTGGGGATACACCTGGGATACACCGGGGTTACACCTGGGTTACACTGGGGATACACCTAGGTTACACCGGGGATAGGTGTCCCCTATCCCTGTCCCAGGTGTGTCCCCAGGTGTGTCCCAGCTGTGTCCCCTGTCCCAGGTGTGTCCCAGGTGTGTCCCCAGGTGTCCCCAGGTGTCCCTCACCTGTCCCAGCTGTGTCCCCAGGTGTCCCCAGGTGTCCCCAGGTGTCCCTCGCCTGTCCCAGGTGTGTCCCCAGGTGTGTCCCCAGGTGTCCCCAGGTGTCCCAGCTGTGTCACTCACCCAGGCCATGGTAGAGGACGTTGCCCTGGCCCAGCCCCTCCTCCACCTTCAGCAGCTGCAGCGTCAGACGGGGCCCGATCTGGGACAGACGGACACGGGGGGGACAGGGGGACACGGGGACAGGGGGACACGGGGACAGGGACAGACGGACACGGGGACAGACGGACACGGGGACAGAGAGGGGGACAGGGACAGAGGGACACGGGGACAGAGGGACACGGGGACAGACGGACACGGGGACAGAGGGACACGGGGACAGGGACAGACAGGGGACAGGGGGACACTCGGTCAGTGTCACAGCGCTCTGCTGTGTCACCCCAGTGTCCCCATTGTCCCCAGTGTCCCCAATGTCCCCATGGATGTCCCCAATGTCCCCATTGGTGTCACCTCAGTCAATCTGATGGCACTCTGCTGTGTCACCCCAGTGTCCCCAGTGTCCCCAATGTCACCCCAGTGTCCCCAATGTCACCTCAGTCAGTCTGATGGCACTCTGCTGTGTCACCCCAGTGTCCCCATGGATGTCCCCTCAATGTCCCCATTGTCCCCATTGTCACCTCAGTCAATCTGATGGCACTCTGCTGTGTCACCCCAGTGTCCCCAATGTCACCTCAGTCAATCTGATGGCGCTCTGCTGTGTCACCCCATTGTCCCCATGGATGTCCCCTCAATGTCCCCAATGTCACCTCAGTCAATCTGATGGCGCTCTGCTGTGTCACCCCATTGTCCCCATGGATGTCCCCTCAATGTCCCCAGTGTCCCCATTGTCACCTCAGTCAATCTGATGGCACTCTGCTGTGTCACCGCGTTCCCACGCCCGGCGCAGTTCTGGGGCAGTTCCAGAACGTTCTGGGACCCGTCCGGCTCCGCTTCGCTCTCGGACAGGACAACGTCCCTGGGGAGGGGACAGGGACAGGACAGGTGACACAGGGACACAGGGACAGGGACACCTCTGGGACAGGACAACGTCCCTGGGGAGGGGACAGGGACAGGTGACACAGGGACAGGGATGGGTGACACCTCTGGGGGACAGGGGACACAGGGACAGGGGACAGGGACACCTCTGGGACAGGACAACGTCGCTGGGGAGGGGACAGGGATAGGGATGGGTGACACAGGGACAGGGACAGGACAGGGGACACAGGGACAGGGACAGGGGACACCTCTGGGACAGGACAGGGGACACAGGGACAGGGACAGGACAGGACAACGTCCCTGGGGAGGGGACAGGGACAGCACCGGTGACACAGGGACACAGGGACAGGGACACTGGGACAGGGACACAGGAACAGGACAGGACAACGTCCCTGGGGAGGGGACAGGGACAGGGATGGGTGACACAGGGACAGGACAGGGGACACCTCTGGGACAGGTGACACAGGGACAGGACAATGTCCCTGGGGAGGGGACAGGGACGGGTGACACAGGTGACACCTGTGGGGGACAGGGGACACAGGGACAGGGGACACAGGGACGGGTGACACAGGGACAGGGGACATCTCTGGAGGTGTCCCCAGTGTCCCCATGTCCCCCCCAGTGTCCCCATGAGCAGCTGGCTGATGTCCCTGGGATGTCCCCAATGTCCCCAAGGTGTCCCCAAGGTGTCCCCATACCCTGTCAGGAGCCGGCTGATGTCCCTGTGATGTCCCCAATGTCCCCAAATGTCCCCAATGTCCCCAATGTCCCCAAGGTGTCCCCAATGTCCCCAATGTCCCCAATGTCCCCAAGGTGTCCCCAATGTCCCCAATGTCCCCATACCCCATCAGGAGCTGGCTGATGTCGTCCATCCTGCCCAGGTGTCCCCAATGTCCCCAATGTCCCCAAGGTGTCCCCAATGTCCCTGTGATGTCCCCATACCCTGTCAGGAGCTGGCTGATGTCCCTGAGATGTCCCCATTGTCCCCAAGGTGTCCCCAATGTCCCCATACCCCGTCAGGAGCTGGCTGATGTCGTCCATCCTGCCCAGGTGTCCCCAATGTCCCCAAGGTGTCCCCAATGTCCCCAAGGCGTCCCCAAGGTGTCCCCAATGTCCCCATTGTCCCCAATGTCCCCATACCCTGTCAGGAGCTGGCTGATGTCCCTGTGATGTCCCTGATGTCCCCAATGTCCCCAAGGTGTCCCCAATGTCCCCAAGGTGTCCCCATACCCCATCAGGAGCTGGCTGATGTCGTCCATCCTGCCCAGGTGTCCCCAATGTCCCCATTGTCCCCAATGTCCCCAATGTCCCCAAGGTGTCCCCAAGGTGTCCCCATTGTCCCCAATGTCCCCAATGTCCCCAAGGTGTCCCCATACCCCATCAGGAGCTGGCTGATGTCGTCCATCCTGCCCAGGTGTCCCCAATGTCCCCATTGTCCCCAATGTCCCCAATGTCCCCAAGGTGTCCCCAAGGTGTCCCCATTGTCCCCAATGTCCCCAATGTCCCCAAGGTGTCCCCATACCCCATCAGGAGCTGGCTGATGTCGTCCATCCTGCCCAGGTGTCCCCAATGTCCCTGTGATGTCCCCAATGTGTCCCCAAGGTGTCCCCAATGTCCCCATACCCCGTCAGCAGCTGGCTGATGTCGTCCATCCTGCCCAGGTGTCCCCAATGTCCCTGTGATGTCCCCATTGTCCCCAAGGTGTCCCCAATGTCCCCAATGTCCCCAATGTCCCCAGTGTACCCCATCAGGAGCTGGCTGATGTCGTCCATCCTGCCCAGGTGTCCCCATTGTCCCCATTGTCCCCAATGTCCCCAAGGTGTCCCCAATGTCCCCAAGGTGTCCCCAAGGTGTCCCCAATGTCCCCAAGGTGTCCCCAATGTCCCCAATGTCCCCATACCCCATCAGGAGCTGGCTGATGTCGTCCATCCTGCCCAGGTGTCCCCATTGTCCCCAATGTCCCCATTGTCCCCAAGGTGTCCCCAAGGTGTCCCCAATGTCCCCAATGTCCCCAATGTCCCCAATGTCCCCAAGGTGTCCCCAAGGTGTCCCCAATGTCCCCATACCCCGTCAGGAGCTGGCTGATGTCGTCCATCCTGCCCAGGTGTCCCCATTGTCCCCAAGGTGTCCCCAATGTCCCCAATGTCCCCAATGTCCCCAATGTGTCCCCAAGGTGTCCCCATTGTCCCCATTGTCCCCAAGGTGTCCCCAATGTCCCTAGGGTGTCCCCAATGTCCCTGTGATGTCCCCAATGTCCCCAATGTACCCCATCAGGAGCTGGCTGATGTCGTCCATCCTGCCCAGGTGTCCCCAATGTCCCCAATGTCCCCAAGGTGTCCCCAATGTCCCCAATGTACCCCATCAGGAGCTGGCTGATGTCCCTGTGATGTCCCCAATGTCCCCAAGGTGTCCCCAAGGTGTCCCCAATGTCCCCAATGTCCCCAAGGTGTCCCCAATGTCCCCAAGGTGTCCCCAAGGTGTCCCCAATGTCCCCAATGTCCCCAAGGTGTCCCCATTGTCCCCAAGGTGTCCCCAAGGTGTCCCCAATGTCCCCAATGTCCCCAGTGTACCCTGTCAGGAGCTGGCTGATGTCCCTGTGGTGTCCCCAATGTCCCCATTGTCCCCAATGTCCCCAAGGTGTCCCCAAGATGTCCCCATTGTCCCCATACCCCGTCAGGAGCTGGCTGATGTCGTCCATCCTGCCCAGGTTCGGGAATTTCTCCTGGAGAATTTTCCGGAGCCCCCGGCTGAGCCCCACGGGCACCACCTGGACACTGCTGGAAATGGGGGAAAAATGGGGGAATTTGGGAAAAATGGGAAAAAAAATGGGAATTTGGGAATGGGGAAGCACCTGGACACTGCTGGGAATGGGGGAAAACGGGGGAATTTGGGAAAAATGGGAAAAAAATGGGAATTTGGGAATGGGGAAGCACCTGGACACTGCTGGAAATGGGGGAAAAAACGGGGGAATTTGGGAAAAATGGGGAAAAATGGGGAAAAATGGGAAAAAAAATAGGGAAAAATTGGGAAAAATGGGAAAAATTGGGAATGGGGAACCACCTGGACACTGCTGGGAATGGGGGAAAAACGGGGGAATTTGGGAAAACTGGGAAAAAATGGGGAAAAAAATGGGAATTTGGGAATGAGGAACCACCTGGACACTGCTGGAAATGGGGGAAAACGGGGAAATTTGGGAAAAATGGGAAAAAAATGGGGAAAAATTTGGGAATTTGGGAATGGGGAAGCACCTGGACACTGCTGGAAATGGGGGAAAACGGGGAAAAATGGGAAAAATGGGGAAAAATTGGGAATTTGGGAATGGGGAAGCACCTGGACACTGCTGGGAATGGGGGAAAAATGGGGAAAAATGGGAAAAATGGGAATGGGGAACCACCTGGACACTGCTGGGAATGGGGGGAAAACGGGGAAAAATGGGAAAAATGGGGAAAAATTGGGAAAAATTGGAAAAAATGGGAAAAAATGGGAAAAATTTGGGAATTTGGGAACGGGGAACCACCTGGACACTGCTGAAAATGGGGAAAAACGGGGGAATTTGGGAAAAATGGGGAAAAATGGGGAAAAATTGGAAAAAATGGGAAAAAATTGGGAATTTGGGAATGGGGAACCACCTGGACACTGCTGGGAATGGGGGAAAAACGGGGGAATTTGGGAAAAATGGGGAAAAATTGGGAATTTGGGAATGGGGAAGCACCTGGACACTGCTGGAAATGGGGGAAAAACGGGGGAATTTGGGAAAAATGGGAAAAAAAAGGGAAAAAATGGGGGGAAATGGGGAAAAATGGGGAAAAATGGGGGAAAAATGGGGAAAAAATGGGGAAAAAATAGGGAAAAAATGGGGAAAATGGGGAAAAAAGGGGGGAAAATGGGGAAAAAATGGGAATTTGGAAATGGGGAACCACCTGGACACTGCTGGAAATGGGGAATTTGGGAAAAATGGGAAAAATGGGAATTTGGGACTCTGGGAATTCAGGACTTTGAGACTTTGGGAATTTGAGATTTTGGGAATTTGGGGTTTTGGGAATTTGGGAATTCAGGAATTTGGGAATTCAGGATTTTGGGATTTGGGGAATTTGAGATTTTGGGAATTCAGGAATTTGGGACTTTGGGAATTGGGGAATTCAGGACTTTGGGAATTCAGGATTTGGGAATTTGGGAATTCAGAACTTTGAGAATTCAGAACTTTGAGAATTGGGGAATTTGGGATGCTGGGACTTTGGGAATTTGGAATTCAGGAATTTGGGAATTCGGGAATTTGGGAATTCAGAACTTTGAGAATTTGAGAATTCAGGATTTGGGGATTTGGGGAATTCGAGATTTTGGGAATTCAGGAATTTGGGAATTTGGGAATTCAGGACTTTGGGAATTTGGGAATTCAGAATTTTGAGAATTCAGAACTTTGAGAATTGGGGAATTTGGGAATTTGGGATGCTGGGATTTTGGGAATTTGGAATTCAGGAATTTGGGAATTGGAGAAATTGGGAATTCAGGATTTTGGGATTTGGGGATTTGGGAATTTGGGAATTTGGGGATTTTGGGAATTCGGGATTTTGGGATTTGGGAATTTGGGAATTCAGGACTTTGGGAATTTGGGAATTCAGAACTTTGAGAATTCAGGAATTTGGATATTGGGGAAATTGGGAATTCAGGATTTGGGGATTTGGGGATTTTGGGAATTGAAGATTTTGGGATTTGGGAATTTGGGGATTTCGGGATTTGGGGATTTTGAGAATTCAGGATTTTGGGATTTGGGGATTTTAGGAATTGAGGATTTGAGATTTGGGGATTTGGGAATTTGGGGATTTTGGGATTTGGGGATTTTGGGAATTGAGGATTTGGGATTTGGGGATTTGGGAATTTGGGGATTTTGGGATTTGGGGATTTTGGGAATTGAGGATTTGAGATTTGGGGATTTGGGAATTCAGGATTTTGGGATTTGGGAATTTGGGGATTTTGGGAATTTGGGAATTCAGGATTTTGGGTAATTTGGGATTTTGGGGATTTTGGGAATTGGGGATTTGGGATTTTGGGGATTTTGGGAATTGGGGATTTTGAGAATTCAGGATTTTGGGATTTGGGTAATTTGGGAATTTGGAATTCAGGAATTTGGGAATTGGAGAAGTTGGGAATTTGGGGAAATTGGGAATTCAGGATTTTGGGAATTGGGAATTTGGGATTTTGGGGAAATTGGGAATTCAGGAATTTGGGATTGGGGATTTTGGGGAAATTGGGAATTCGGGAATTGGGGAAATTGGGATTTGGGTAATTTGGGAATTTGGGGAAATTGGGAAATTGGGAATTCAGGATTTTGGGAATTGGGGAATTTGGGATTTTGGGGATTTTGGGAATTGGGGATTTGGGGATTTTGGGGAATTGAGGATTTGGGATTTGGGAATTTGGGGATTTTGGGAATTTGGGAATTCAGGAATTTGGGTAATTTGGGAATTTGGGGATTTGGAATTCGGGAATTGGGGATTTGGGATTTTGGGGAAATTGGGAATTCAGGAATTTGGGATTTGGGAATTTGAGGATTTGGGATTTGGGTAATTTGGGATTTTGGGGATTTTGGGAATTTGGGATTTTGGGATTTTGGGAATTTGGGAAATCAGGAACTTGGGATTTGGGAATTTGGGGATTTCAGGATATTGGGATTTGGGAATTTGGGGATTTTGGGAATTTGGGGCTTTTGGGATTTGGGAATTTGGGGATTTTGAGAATTCAGAACTTTGAGAATTGGGGACTTTGGGATTTTGGAAATTTGGAATGCAGGAATTCGGGAATTGGGGAAATTGGGAATTCAGGATTTTGGGATTTGGGATTTGGGAATTTCAGGATTTTGGGATTTGGGAATTTGGGGATTTTGGGAATTCGGGATTTTGGGATTTGGGTAATTCGGGAATTTGGAATTCAGGAATTTGGGAATTGGGGAAGTTGGGAATTTGGGGAAATTGGGAATTCAGGAATTTGGGATTTGGGAATTTGGGGATTTTGGGAATTTGGGGATTTTGGGATTTTGGGATTTGGGGCTCTTGGGCTCTCACTAGTGCCGGAATTCCAGGAGCTGGGAGTCGGCGTCGTAGGAGATCAGCAAACAGCGACGGATGGAGTTCAGGTTCACCTGGGATGGGAAAAACGGGAAAAAAATGGAAAAAAAACGGGAAAAAAAACGGGAAAAAACGGGAAAAAATGGGAAAAAATGGGAAAAAAACGGGAAAAAACAGGAAAAAAACGGGAAAAAATGGGAAAAAATGGGAATGGGGAAAATCCCCTTTTCTCTGTTCCCAGACCCCAAATCCCCTTTTCCTGCCCCTCTCCCCATTTTCCCAAATTCCAGCTCCCGAATTCCCAGATAAATCCCAGACAATTCCCAGATAATTCCTGGATAATTCTGGATAAAATTCCAGAATAATTCCCAGATAATTCCCAAACAAATCCCAGATAATTCCTGATTAATTCCCAATTAATTCCCAGATAATTCCCAAATAACACTGGGACAATTCCCAATAATTCCCAGATAAATACTGATTAATTCCTGGATAATTCCCAATTAATTCCTGATTATTTCCCAGATAATTCCCACATAGTTAATTCCTGGATGATTCCCAGATAATTCTGACATAATTCCCAATTAATTCCTGATTATTTCCCACATAATTCCCATATAATTACCAATTAATTCCTGATTAATTCCCAATTAATTCCTGATCATTTCCCAGATAATTCCCATACAATTCCCAATTAATTCCCAGGTAATTCCCAATTAATTCCCATATAATCCCCACATAATTCCCACATAACTCCTGATTAATTCCCACATAATTCCTGGTTAATTCCTGATTAATTCCCAATTAATTCTCGATTAATTCCCAATTAATTCCCAGATAATTCCCAGATAATTCCTAATCCCCACATAATTCCCATACAATCCCCAATTAATTCCTGATTAATTCCCACATAATTCCCAATTAAATCCTGGATAATTCCCAGATACTTCCCACATAATTCCTGATTAATTCCCGATTAATTCCCAATTAAATCCTGATTCATTCCCGATTAATTCCCACAGAATTCCCGGATAATTTCCAGATATTTCCCACATAATTCCTGATTAATTCCCACAAAATTCCTGATTAATTCCCGATTAATTCCCACATAATTCCCAATTAATTCCTGATTAATTCCCAATTAATTCCTGATTAATTCCCATACAATTCCCGATTAATTCCCACATAATTCCCCAATTAAATCCTGGATAATTCCCAGACAATTCCCAATTAATTCCCAATTAATTCCCAATTAATTCCCAGGTAATTCCCAATTAATTCCCAATTAATTTCCATATAATTCCCATATAACTCTTGATTAATTCCCACATAATCCCTGGTTAATTCCTGATTAATTCCCAATTAATTCTTGATTAATTCCCAATTAATTCCCAGATAATTCCCATACAATTCCCGATTAATTCCCACATAATCCCCAATTAATTCTCGAATAATTCCCATACAATTCCCAATTAAATCCCGATTAATTCCCACATAATTCCCGATTAATTCCTGATTAATTCCCAATTAATTCCTGATTCATTCCCGATTAATTCCCACGAATTCCCAGATAATTCCCAGATACTTCCCACATAATTCCTGATTAATTCCCACAAAATTCCTGATTAATTCCCGATTAATTCCCACATAATTCCCAATTAATTCCTGATTAATTCCTGATTAATTCACAGTTAATTCCTGATAAATTCCCAGATAATTCCCAATTAATTCCCGAATAATTCCCATGCAATTCCCAATTAATTCCTGATTAATTCCCACATAATTCCCAATTAATTCCTGGATAATTCCCAGACAATTCCCAATTAATTCCTGATTAATTCCCACATAATTCCCAATTAAATCCTGGATAATTCCCAGACAATTCCCAATTAATTCCTGATTAATTCCCAATTAATTCCTGATTCATTCCCGATTAAATACCACAGAATTCCCGGATAATTCCCAGATATTTCCCACATAATCCCCAATTAATTCCTGAATAATTTCCATATAATTCCCAATTAAATCCTGATTAATTCCCAATTAATTCCCAGATCATTCCCACATAATTCCTGATTAATTCCCATACAATCCCCAATTAATTCCTGATTCATTCCCAATTAATTCCCACATAATTCCCATACAATCCCCAATTAAATCCTGATTAATTCCCAATTAAATCCTGATTCATTCCCGATTCATTCCCACAAATTCCCAGATAATTTCCAGATATTTCCCGCATAATTCCTGATTAATTCCCACAAAATTCCTGATTAATTCCCGATTAATTCCCACATAATTCCCAATTAATTCCTGATTAATTCCCAATTAATTCCTGATTAATTCCCATACAATTCCCGATTAATTCCCACATAATTCCCCATTAAATCCTGGATAATTCCCATACAATTCCCAATTAATTCCTGATTAATTCCCAACTAATTCCTGATTTATTCCCAATTAATTCCCACAGAATTCCCGGATAATTCCCAGATATTTCCCAATTAATTCCTGATTCATTCCCGATTAAATACCACAGAATTCCCGGATAATTCCCAGATATTTCCCGCATAATCCCCAATTAATTCCTGAATAATTTCCATACAATTCCCAATTAAATCCTGATTAATTCCCAATTAATTCCCAGATCATTCCCACATAATTCCCACATAATTCCTGATTAATTCCCACATAATCCCCAATTAATTCCCACATAATTCCCATACAATCCCCAATTAAATCCCGATTAATTCCCGATTAAATCCCGATTCATTCCCACAGAATTCCCAGACATTTCCCAGGCGATCCCCAGGGAATTGGGGCTGGGATTCCGGAACGTTCCCTGACCCTGTGGACGTTGAGGGCCGGGAACATCCCCTGGAACATCCCGGCCATGAGCCTGAGCTCCGCCCGCGCCCGCGCCCCGAAATTGCCCAGCACCAGCAACGGGGGGTGCAGGAACTGCTGCTCGTGCATGCGGTGCCGCCGCAGGGCCGAGACCACGTCCCGCACCAGCGAGTACTGGAACGGGGAAAAAACGGGAAAAAAATCATTAAAATTCCATTAAAATCCCATCAAAATCCATTTAATCCCATTAAAATCCCATTAAAATCCCCCCAGAATCTCCACGGTGCCGCCGCAGCGCCGAGACCACGTCCCGCACCAGCGAGTACTGGAACGGGGAAAAAAAGGGGAAAAATGGGAAAAAAATCATTAAAATCCTGAAAAAAATTCATTAAAATCCATTGAATCCCATTAAAATCCCATTAAAATCCACCCCAGGGAGCCCCAGAACTGCTGCTCGTGCATGCGGTGCCGCCGCAGGGCCGAGACCACGTCCCGCACCAGGGAGTACTGGAACGGGGAAAAAAAGGGGAAAAAATCATTAAAATTCCATTAAAATCCCATCAAAATCCATTTAATCCCATTAAAATTCCATTAAAATCCCATTTAATCCCATTAAAATCCACCCCCAGGAGCCCCTGAACCAGGCGGTGCCTCCTGAGGGCCGAGACCACAGCCCACACCAGGGAGTGCTGGAACGGGGCAAAAAATGGGAAAAATGGGAAAAAAATCATTCAAATCCTGAAAAAATCATTAAAATCTCATTAAAATTTCATTAAAATCCCATTAAAATCCACCCCAGAATCACAAAAATCCCCCCAGAATCTCCACGGTGCCTCCTGAGGGCCGAGACCACGGCCCAGACCAGGGAGTGCTAAAATGGGGCAAAAAACGGGAAAAATGGGAAAAAAATCATTCAAATCCTGAAAAAATCATTAAAATCCTGAAAAAATCATTAAAATCTCATTAAAATTCCATTAAAATCCCATAAAAATCCACCCCAGAATCACAAAAATCCCCCCAGAATCTCTGTGGTGCCTCCTGAGGGCCGAGACCACGTCCCGCACCAGGGAGTGCTGGAATGGGGCAAAAAACGGGAAAAACGGGGAAAAATCATTAAAATCCTGAAAAAATCTTTAAAATCTCATTAAAATTCCATTAAAATCTCATTAAAATCCATTGAATCCCATTAAAATCCCATTAAAATCCACCCCAAGGAGCCCCAGAACCAGGCGGTGCCTCCTGAGGGCCGAGACCATGGCCCACACCAGGGAGTGCTGGAATGGGGCAAAAAATGGGAAAAATGGGGAAAAATCATTAAAATCCTGAAAAAATCATTAGAATCTCATTAAAAATCCATTAAAATTCCATTTAATCTCATTAAAATCCCATTAAAATCCACCCCAAGGAGCCCCAGAACCAGGCGGTGCCTCCTGAGGGCCGAGACCACGGCCCACACCAGGGAGTGCTGGAACGGGGCAAAAAAGGGGAAAAATGGGGGAGGAACGGGGCAAAAAAGGGGAAAAATGGGGGAAAAATCATTAAAATCCTGAAAAAATCATTAAAATCTCATTAAAATCTCATTAAAATCTCATTAAAATCTCATTAAAATTCCATTAAAATCCACCCCAGAACCACAAAAATTCCCCCCAGAATCTCTGTGGTGCCTCCTGAGGGCCGAGACCACGGCCCACACCAGGGAGTGCTGAAATGGGGCAAAATACGGGAAAAATGGGGGAAAAAAACATTAAAATCCTGAAAAAATCATTAAAATCCTGAAAAAATCATTAAAATCTCATTAAAATCCCATAAAAATCCAGCCCAGAATCACAAAAATCCCCCCAGAATCTCTGTGGTGCCTCCTGAGGGCCGAGACCACGGCCCACACCAGGGAGGGCTGGAATGGGGCAAAAAAGGGAAAAAATGGGGAAAATGGGGAAAAAAATCCTTAAAATCCTGAAAAAATCATTAAAATCCTGAAAAAATCATTAAAATCTCATTAAAATTCCATTAAAATCCCATAAAAATCCCCCCAGAATCACAAAAATCCCCCCAGAATCTCTGTGGCGCCTCCTGAGGGTCGAGACCACATCCCAGACCAGGGAGTGCTGGAACGGGGCAAAAAAGGGGAAAAATGGAAAAAAATGGGGAAAAATGGAATTGAATCCAAAGGAAAATGAAAAAATAATCCATTTATTCCCCAAAAAATCAGCCCAGAATCCCCCCAAAAAATTCCAAATCCCCAAAAAATTCCCAAATCCCCCAAAAAAATTCCAAATTCCGCATCAGGGAGTGCTGGGAAAGGAGGAATAATGAGATGGAATCCCAAAGAAATCCTGGAATTCTCTCTGGAATGTGCAAAAATCACCCCAGGATTCCCAAAAAAATCCAACCCTGGGATGAATCCCTCCCCCAGAATTCCCAAAAATTCCCAAAAATTCCCAAAAATTCCCAGAATTCCTGGACGCACCTGCAGCACTTTGAAGGTCAGGGTGGGACCCCCCGGCAGCCGGAAAATTTTCTGGGAAAGAGGAAAAGATTCAGGAATGGGAAAAATCCGGGAAAATTCCAGAAAAATCCTGGAAAAATCCTCAGAAAAATCCCAGGACAATTCTGGGAAAAAATCCAGGAAAATTCTGGGAAAAATCCCAGGAAAATTCCCATAAAAATCTCGGGGAAATCCTCAGAAAATTCCCAGAAAATTCTGGGAAAATTCCAGGAAAATCCTGGAAAAGAAAATGGAAAAATTCCTGGAGAAATCCTGTGAAAATTCTCAGTAAAATCCTGGGGAAATTCCCAGAAAAATCCCAGGGAAATTTTGGGAAAATCCTGGAAAAATTCTGGGAAATTCCTCAGAAAATTCCCAGGAAAATCCTGGTAAAATCCCAGAAAAATCCTGGGAAAATACCAGAAAAACCTTGGAAAAATTCAGGAAAAAAATCCTGGAATATTCCTGGGAAAATTCCACAGAACTCCCATAAAAAAATCCTGGGTAAACCTCAGAAAATTCCTGGGAAAATCCCAGAAAAAAAATCCGGAAAAATCCCAGGAGAAACATCCTGGGAAAATCCCAGGGAAATAACGGGAAAATCCCAGAAAAAAAATCCGGAAAAATCCTAGAAAAAATTGGAAAAAAAATCCCATAAAAATCATGGGAAAATGTCAGAAAAATCCTCAGAAAAATCCCTGAAAAATTCCAGAAAAAATCAAAAAAATTCCCCCCAAAAATCCCAGAAAAATCCTGGAAAATTCCCTGAAAATCCTGGAAAATTCCCTGAAAAATCCCAGAAAAAAATCAAAAAAATTCCCCCAAAAATCCCAAAAAAATCCTGGAAAATTCCCTGAAAATCCTGGAAAATTCCCATTAAAACCCCATAAAAATTCCCAACCCCATCCCAGACCCATCAGAGCGTTTACTTTGGGATCAATCACAGAATTTGGGATCAATCTGGAAAATTCTTCATCCTCTGGGTCCGGGAGGGATTTGGGACCCCCTGGAATTGCCCAAAATTCCTAAAATTGCCCAAATTCCCGGGATTCTCACCAGGTTGACGCCGGTTTGGGATTTGCTGAGCACCAGGAACTGGGTGACCCCCAAGGGCCCGGCCACGGCCACCAGGTCCCGCAGGGAATTGCTCCGGCGCACCTGGAAAATCCCAAAATTCCAGAATCCCGGAATTCCTGAGGGATCCCAGAAATCCTGGAAGAGGAACCTCGGAATTCCTGGGAAAAACCTGAAATTCTTGGGGAAAAAACCTGAAATTCCTGGGAAAAAAACCTGAAATTCTTGGGGAAAAAAACCCCAAAATTTCTGGAAGAGAAACCTCAAAATTCCTGGGAAAAAAAACCCTGAAATTCCTGGAAAAAAAACCCTGAAATTCCTGAGAAATCCCAAAATTCCTGAATCCCAAATTCCAAAAATCCCCAAAAAAATCCTGGCCGTGAAGGGCTCCAGGACCCCCCTGAGCCCATTCCCAGTGTCCCAAATCCCCATTCCCAGTGATCCCAACGTCCCAAATGTGTCCCCAGGTGTGTCCCCAAGGTGTCCCCAAGGTCCCCCGGGTGTCACCTGCAGGTTCCTGACCATGAAGGGCTCCAGGACCCTCCTGAGCCCATTCCCAGTACCCCAATGTCCCCATTCCCAGTGTCCCAAATCCCCATTCCCAGTGATCCCAATGTCCCCCGGGTGTCACCTGCAGGTTCCTGACCATGAAGGGCTCCAGGTCCCTCCTGAGCCCATTCCCAGTGTCCCCAGTACCCCAATGTTCCCATTCCCAGTGATCCCAATGTCCCAAATGTGTCCCCAAGGTGTCCCCAAGGTGTCCCCCGGGTGTCACCTGCAGGTTCCTGACCATGAAGGGCTCCAGGACCCTCCTGAACCCAATCCCAGTGTCCCAAATCCCCAATCCCAGTGTCCCCAGTACCCCAATGTCCCCATTCCCAGTGTCCCGAATCCCCAATGTCCCCATTCCCAGTGTCCCAATGTGTCCCCAAGGTGTCCCCAATGTCCCCCCGGGTGTCACCTGCAGGTTCCTGGCCGTGAAGGGCTCCAGGACCCTCCTGAGGTCCTTGCAGAGGCTCCTGAGGCTCCTCCCGGGCCGGCCCCGGGGGAACACGAACGAGTGAGGGACGGAGGAGAATTCCTGCTCCGAGCGCAGCCGGGCCTGGGCGCGCTGCTGCCGCTGGAAACGGCTCTGAAAGGGTTAAAAACATCCTCCATTATCCCCAAAAATCCAAAATTTTGGGAATGCCGATCCTGAGAAACCCCAAAATCCGGGAGTTTCCAGCCCCTCCCAACGCTGAAATCCCGTTTCCGCCTCTCCAGAATGGGCTGGAAACTCCAAAATTTGGGATTTCCGAGACCCCCTCCCCCCGATCCCACTTCTCCCCTCACGATTCTCCAAATTTTGGGATTTTTCCCCAAAATTTTGCGATCCCGCCGCTTTTTTTCGCCCCTCCCGCCACTCCCGACCCCCCGCTGCTCCCCTGACCCTTCCCCGTCCCGGTTTTTCTCGGTTTTTCCCGGTTTTTTCCCGTTTTTTTTTCCCATTTTTTTCCCGTTTTTTTCCCCCCGACCTTCCCGGGCCGCCCCATCCCGCCGCGGCCGCGTGTCCTCGCTACTTCCGGTGTGTCCCCAGCGCCTTCCGGGCACTTCCGGTGTGTCACTTCCGTTTCCTTCCGGGTTTCATGTGTTTCCCCGAACTTGAGTTCCGGCGGTTTTGTTGCCCCGTTGGTTTGGGGCCAAAATCCAAAAAAAATCCCCAAAAAATCCCCCAAAATCCCAAAAAATGCCCCAAAATCCCTCCCAGGGAGCCCAAAGTCCCCGGCGCGGCAGTGAATGAGAAAGGGAGACTGTGGGAGGAGTTTTGGGTTTAATGGAGAAGCCCAATGACCCCTCAAGTGCGGACGAGACTCCGAAAAATCCCCAAAATTCCCCCCAAAATTCCCCCAAAATTCCCCCTAGAATTCCCTAAAATTCCCAAGATCCCCCAAAGCTCCCCAAAACCCCCCAAAAATGTCCTAAAATCTCCTAAACCCCCCTAAAACCTCCCCAGTTTCACCCCAAATCCCCCCCAGGACCCCCCATAATCCCGATTTTTTGGGGTGCCCTCAGACAGGGCAGACTCAAAGACACCTGAGGACCTCGAGATTCAGGTGAGACCCCCCAAAACATCCCCAAAACCCCCAACTCCCTCCTAAATCTCCTAAAACCTCCCAATTTCACCCCAAAACTCCCCAAATAAAGCCCGAATTTCACCTCAAATCTCCCCGAATTTCCCCCCCAAACCCCGATTTTTGGGGCGCCCTCAGACGGGGGTGACTCCAAGACACCCGAGGACCTCGAGACCACCAAAAATCCCTAAAATACCCCTAAACCCCCTCCCAAATAAAGCCCTAAAACCTCCCTAAATCCCCTAAAATCGCCCCGATTTTGCCCAAAAATTGGCGTTTTCAGACGGGGGTGACTCAAAGACACCCGAGGGACCTCGAGACCACCAAAAATCCCTAAAATACCCCTAAACCCCCCAAATAAAAAACCCCTAAAACCTCCCTAAATCCCCTAAAAATCACCCGGATTTCACCCCAAAAAGCCCCAAAAATTGGCGTTTTCAGATGGGGGTGACTCAAAGACACCCAAAGACCCCGAGACCACCAAAAATCCCTAAAATACCCCAAAACCCCCTAAATAAAAACCCCTAAAACCGCCCTAAATCCCCTAAAATTGCCCAAAAAGCCCCAAAATTGGCGTTTTCAGACGGGGGTGACTCAAAGACACCCGAGGACCCCGAGACCACCAAAAATCCCTAAAATACCCCTAAACCCCCCACATAAAAAGCCCTAAAAGCTCCCTAAATCCCCTAAAATCGCCCGGATTTCACCCCAAAAAGCCCCAAAATTTGGCGTTTTCAGACGGGGGTGACTCAAAGACACTCGAGGACCCTGAGACCACCAAAAATCCCTAAAATACCCCTAAACCCCCCACATAAAAAGCCCTAAAAGCTCCCTAAATCCCCTAAAATCGCCCCAAAAAACCCCAAAATTTGATGTTTTCAGACGGGGGTGACTCAAAGACACCCGAGGACCTCGAGACCACCAAAAATCCCTAAAATACCCCTAAACCCCCCACATAAAAAGCCCTAAAACCTCCCTAAATCCCCTAAAATTGCCCAAAAAAGCCCCAAAAATTGGTGTTCTCAGACGGGGGTGACTCAAAGACACCCGAGGACCTCGAGACCACCAAAAATCCCTAAAATACCCCTAAATCCCCCACATAAAAAGCCCTAAAAGCTCCCTAAATCCCCTAAAATCACCCCAAAAAACCCCAAAAATTGGTGTTTTCAGACGGGGTGACTCAAAGACACCCGAGGACCTCGAGACCACCAAAAATCCCTAAAATACCCCTAAACCCATCCCAAATAAAGCCCTAAAAGCTCCCTAAATCCCCTAAAATCGCCCGGATTTCGCCCAAAAATCGCCCAAAAATTGGCGTTTTCAGACGGGGGGTGACTCAAAGACACCCGAGGACCCCGAGACCACCAAAAATCCCTAAAATACCCCTAAACCCCCCCCAAATAAAGCCCTAAAACCTCCCTAAATCCCCTAAAATCACCTGGATTTCGCCCCAAAAAGCCCCAAAATTGGCGTTTTCAGACGGGGGTGACTCAAAGACACCCGAGGACCTCGAGACCACCAAAAATCCCTAAAATACCCCCTAAACCCCCCCAAATAAAAACCCCTAAAACCTCCCTAAATCCCCTAAAATCGCCCAAAAATCGCCCAAAAATTGGTGTTTTCAGACGGGGGTGACTCAAAGACACCCAAGGACCTCGAGACCACCAAAAATCCCTAAAATACCCCTAAACCCCCCACATAAAAAGCCCTAAAACCTCCCTAAATCCCCTAAAATCGCCCGGATTTCGCCCCAAAAAGCCCCAAAATTGGCGTTTTCAGACGGGGGGACTCAAAGACACCCGAGGGCCTCGAGACCACCAAAAATCCCTAAAATACCCCTAAACCACCCCAATAAAAAGCCCTAAAAGCTCCCTAAATCCCCTAAAATCGCCCGGATTTCGCCCCAAAAAGCCCCAAAAATTGGTGTTTTCAGATGGGGGTGACTCAAAGACACCCGAGGACCTCGAGACCACCAAAAATCCCTAAAATACCCCTAAACCCCCCACATAAAAAGCCCTAAAACCTCCCTAAATACCCTAAAATCGCCCCAAAATTTGATGTTTTCAGACGGGGGTGACTCAAAGACACCCGAGGACCTCGAGACCACCAAAAATCCCTAAAATACCCCTAAATCCCCCACATAAAAAGCCCTAAAAACCTCCCTAAATCCCATAAAATCGCCCGGATTTCGCCCAAAAAGCCCCAAAATTTGATGTTTTCAGACGGGGGTGACGCGGCGGCGGCTAGCAGCGGCAGCTGAGGCAGCGCAGCAGCGCCAGGCTGAGGTGGAAAGCGGGGCCGAGGTCGAACAGGAGGCGCTGGAAGGTTCGGACGCCGAGGTCCCCGCGGGGGTCGGCGAAGCGCAGGGCGAGGAGGGGGGAATAGAGGGGGTTGGTGGGGGGTCCGGAACGGGGGGCGGCGGGCGCCGATCACCGACACGATGGCCTGGAAATGGGGGGGACAGGGAAGGGGGGAGCAGAAAGGGGTTTGTGTAAAAAAAACAAGAAAAATCTCTGAAAAATCGCCCTAAAATTGTAAAAAAAACCACAAAAAATCCACAAATATCACCCAAAATTCCGAAAAAATCCCCTAAAAATCCCCCAAAAATCACCTAAAAATCCCAGCCAGGTAGCCAAAAGAAATCCCCAAAAATTCCGCCAAAAAAACCCCAAAAAATCGAAAAAATCCCCCCAAAAATTCCCCAAAAAATCACCCAAAAATCCCCTCAAAAGCCCCAAAGATGGGGGGCGGCGGGCGCCGATCACCGACACGATGGCCTGGAAATGGGGGGCACAGGGAAGGGGGGAGCAGAAAGGGGTTTGTGTAAAAAAACAAAAAAAATCTCTGAAAAATTGTAAAAAAACCTCCAAAAATCCCCCAAAAATCACCCAAAAATCCCCTCAAAAGCCCCAAAGATGGGGGGCGGGGGGGTGCCCATCACCGAGACGATGGCCTGGAAATGGGGGGCACAGGGAGGGGGAGAGCAGAAAGTTAAAAAAACCGAAAAAATTAAAAAAAAAAAAGAAGTGATAGATGCTAAAATAATCCGCCGAAAAAATCGCCAAAAAAAGAATCGCCATAAATCCCCCCAAAATTCCAAAAAAATCTCCAAAAAATCCACCAAAAATCCTGGAAAATCCTCCAAAAAATCGTCCTAAAAACACCCAAAAAATCGCCATAAAACCACCAAAAATCGCCATAAAAAACCCACAAAAAATCCCCCAAAAAAATCCCAAATTTCCCCCAACTCCTGACCTGCGCCACCTCCTCGGGGCTCTGGCCGAAGGTGTTGAACACATCGCGGCTGGCGGGCAGGAAATGCCCCAAAAATCACCACAAAACCCACAAAAAATCCCCAAAAAATCCCCAAAAATCCCCCCGCAAACGAAATCCCCAAAATTGTCATAAAAATCCCAAAAAGCTCAAAAAAATCCTTAAAAAAATCCTAAAAAACCCAAAATTCCTCCACGTGCTCACCTACGCCCCCTGCTGGCTGGCGGAGGAAATGCACCAAATCGCCTCAGAAATCGCCTCAGAAATCGCCATAAAAACCCCCAAAAATCGACATAAAAACCCCAAAAAAACCCCAAAAAACCCCAAATTTTCCCCAAATTTTCCCTCAAATCCTGACCTGCGCCACCTCCTCGGGGCTCTGGCCGAAGGTGTCGAACACGTCGCGGCTGGCGGGCAGATAAACCTCGCGGAAGTAGCGCAGGGTCTCGGGGTCGGTGCCGGGAAATTCGGATTTTTCCACCTCCTGCAGGACCTTGCGCTCGAACTCCGTGTTCACCGGGCCCGGCTCCACCAGGGACACGCTGCGGGTTTTTTGGGGCTTTTTTTTGGGGTTTTTGGGATTTTTTGGGGTTTTGGGGGGTTTTTTTGGCGGTTTTTTTGGCGGTTTTTTGGGCGGTTTATGGGTATTTTTATGGGGATTTGAAGGTTTTTTGGGGGATTTTTGAGGGGTTTGTGTGGGGTTTTTATGGGGATTTTTTTGGGGTTTTTTTGGGGTTTTTGGGGGTTTTTCCGGCATTATTTAGGGGTGATTCGGAGCCATTTTTGGGGTGATTTTCCACTGATTCCGAGGGGGTTTTTGGGGTAATTTGGGGGTAATTTCCAGCTTAATTTTGGGGTGATTCGGAGCCATTTTTGGGGTGATTTTCCACTGATTCCGAGGGGTTTTTGGGGTAATTTTGGGGTAATTTTGGGGGTAATTTCTGGCATTATTTTGGGATGACTGTTCCAATGATTCCGAGGTTTTTTGGGGGTAATTTTGGGGTGATTTTGGGGGTAATTTCCGGCATTATTTTGGGATGATTTCGGGCCATTTTTGGGGTGACTTTTCCAGTGATTCTGAGGGGGTTTTTGGGGTAATTTCCGGCATTATTTTGGGGTGATTTCGGGCCATTTTTGAGGTGATTTTCCAGTGATTCCGAGGGGGGTTTTGGGGTAATTTGGGGGTAATTTCCAGCTTAATTTTGGGGTGATTCGGGGCCATTTTGGGGTGATTTTCTGGTGATTCGGGGCCATTTTTGGGGTGATTTTC